AAAATATTAACATAAATAAAAAATGAATAATAATTTACAAGTATATATCATAAAGATGTATTTTTTTCTTCAGTTATAATCAAATATATTAAAAAGTTGGAGAAAATATAATTTTAAAATAAAAATAATAAAATACATATCAACAAATTAAAAAAAATAAAAGCACGTTAAAAAATAATCGCGGATAATATCTCTTAGCTGTACCCGAGGTCAGGGTGACACCACAATTCCAATCCAAACGACCAAAGGGAACGGCGAAGATGAGATGCCACGTGATAGGTGAGCCTCTCCCTCGTGTACGATGGTTGAAGAACGACAAACCCCTGAGCGAGGATCAGCCAGACAAGTACGAAGTGATCGGGAACGGTACTAAATTGCTAATCAGGAAGGTCGATTATGCCGACACTGGGGCTTACATGTGTGAAGCGACCAGCGCTGGGGGACTAACGAGAGACATCAGCAGTTTAGTGATTCAGGAGCAACCTACACCGAGTAAGTAAAGGGCAACTTCTTGCTGTGAGACGAGAATTCATAGTATTAAACCATTATACAAATATGTTTAATTAAGAAAATATTATTTTTAATATAATAGGGAGATATTTTATTATTTGCATATCATTAGCATTAATTAGTTGTAACTTTAAGTACTATCATAATTTTATTATTATATTATATTATTGTGTCTTTAATATTGAAATGTTGTATCCAGTTGCGACGGATGAAGAACGCAGATTCTTATCTTTTCATGAGTGGGGTATTTTAGTATATGAGCCATCTACGTGTCACGCGTTACACGAAATTCATTCCACAGACATTATACCTGGTACTCAGGTGCGAGTTAAAAAAATATTATATTTCTTCTTTTTTTCTATCCTTTTCTTTCTTAATGATCTTACCATCGTATTCTTTATACATTTTTAGGAATACGTCTGCGGACCTAAAAATGTTCCGTGTTCTTGGGGCCGTGCTATTAATGTTGCTGATAGATATGTATATGTTAGTCAACCGGATAAAAACCGCATACTTGTGATCAGCGAAGTACAGATGATGATAATTGATGTACATATTGTTTTATCTTTCATTATAAAATCGAAAATATTTAGAATACTATAAATAATTTCAATTAATTTTAGAATATTATAAATAATTTTAAATAATTTCAATAAATTTCTCAGGTTGTGGCTACAGATAAAAATCCGGTGGATTTATGGTACGTACAAAATCTTGACTATGTCTGGGTATTAAACTGGAGAAGTGAAATAGATGTCGGTATCAAAACCGTGCAAATAATCAAGGAAGCTGCTCAACGAAAAAAACATCATACAATGCGACCAGAACCTATTGATGCACAATTCGATCTCGTGAAAGGCCTGTATATTCCACAGCAGCGAGTATGTTTATCATTCTTTTTCGATATCGCAAACTATACAATCTTAAAATTAAAAATCTTTTGATCTATATGTTATTTAATCAATTTGGCTTACATTATCAATCATTACAAAAAAATTATATAAGTAATTATATTATCTATATTACTTTTGAAAAATTTTAAAAACTTTAATTTCTTAGGATACAAAACACATATTCAAATACGGCTATGTGACCCATATGAATCAGCATGGAATGTACAAGCTCGATCTGATCAACATGAGATACACTCGTACCGTGAACTTGGCCAGTTATAACTGCGTACCAACAAGCATGGAATTCTCCGATCTTTGTAATATATTTCTCATTATTTCGGTATTTTTAAAATTTTTAAATTTTTAAAATTTTTGTTTAGTCACGTAACTTTAAATTCTCTTTTCAACTTCCTATTCAGCCAGAATGTAAGAAAATTTTATTTTCAGACGGTTTTGTGATACTGGAATGCGAAGAGCCAATCACTGGTCGACCAACTGGTCAAGTACTATTAGACTATCTTACTGACAGCGTTCTCGCTCATAAACCGAGCATCTTGGGAAAACCAGCGATTTCTCCTGATTCCAGATATCTAGTTACTCTCGACAAACAAAATACTGGTGTCACTCTCGTGGTGCAGGAGATATTACGTAATATATGTTTTATATATATATATATATTGGGTTGTCCGGAAAGTTCGTGCCGCAAAAGATTTAAATTTAATAAATGAAATTAAAAATCTAAATCTTCTACGTTTCAATTTTCCTTCAAAATCGGCACGAACTTTCCGGACAATCCAATATATATATACACTTCATTTTTTTTGCATTTTCACTATAAAAATATAAAATAAGATACTATATCAAATATATATGCTAATGTAATATTATTAAAAACTATTTACATCAGATGCTTTTTTGATTCGTTAAATGCTAAGACAAATTTTAAATTTTGAAATGATGAATAGCGATTGAGAAATTATTCAAATATATGTATATTGCATACATTTTTTCAGCAAGCGGACTAAAATTCGCTTTTGACGTGAAAACAACTTTAAATATCAGCGACATTGCCTTCTATCCATCGCAAACAACACATAGTTACGACATATATGCTTCATCGACAGACAAAGAAGATATCCTTTTCCTCGATTTAACTACGGGTAAGCTCATTTTTATGCTTTATTCAAATTAAATAAATTTTTATTTTTATTATTAAAAAAAAGAACTTGTAAGTTATAATCCGATTTGTTTCATTTTTTGCGAATAACTAAATCATGCAGCGATTGATATTATCAAATATCATTAAAAATTTTCTATCAAACTGTATTATATTAGAGTAAGATTAATTGTAAAAATATTTCAAATAGTAGTTTTATTATCTATTTAATCTTTTGAATTGTTGATAATTTGATATTCTTTAAAGACAAAGGGGGGGGGGGGGGGAGGGTCTAATCCAAGTTGGCAAAAATATTATTTTCTTATTAAAATTTTGCCTATTTGCTTCAAAAAACTTTACATGTATATTTTTTATTTAAGACATTTTCTTTAAAATTTCATTATATTTTTTCCTTAAAATCTTTACAGGATAAACTTTTCACATGTAAAACTACAAAACGGACACTAATAACATATAATTGTCTTTCCAGGAAAAGTGGAAATGATAACAGGCGTGGGAAAGGCAACACCACCACATCTCACTAAATGGGGTAATCCGAATAGACCGATAATACAAAGCGGTATATTTGGTCGATATATGGTAAGCCCCTCCAACCAGGCACTCTTTGTTCTCAATGGGGAGACCCGTACAGTGAATTGTGAGATTGGTGGCCTTATACATCCTGGCGCGATTGTTTGGTTTACTGTTTCGTTGCGTTAATGAATGTAGCTTCGTGACGATGACAATATGAGACATACGTATATAAATTGAACATAGGGATCCAAGCGGGTACCAAAGCCAATTATACTGAAAAACTTTAGATGAAATTAAAGGTAACATAGAGAAATAAACCATACGATAAATACTTTCATCTTCCCTAGATAATTATTTTTTATAAATAAATATCTTACATTGCGATCGCATCGCTATTTGAAAAAAACAACGTTATCTCCAGCAATGTCCAGAAGCCAATATAGCGACATATAGTAGATAATAAGTAATTGTAATATATCAAATTAATTATTTTATATTGCAATCTATATTAATAATCATATCGATTAGATTAAATTATTCAATTGTGTGTTAATGAAATATTAACTAAACTAAAAAATGAAAAAGAATTTATGAAAGATAATAACAAAATTTTGTAGGCAGAACTATTATTAATATTTTTTAAATATTATATAGATATCGTCAAAATAATACAAAATAATTTAATAAAATTCACATATTTTTGTCTATGAAAAGAATTATGACAATAGTCTCATACTTTTAGAATTGTGATGTAAATTGTTATCGATACATATCAAATATCAACTGCCAAATTGTCAAATATTGTTTATAAATTACACTGTTATTATATCTTTAATCGGCAAGCAGTTACAATGTCAGAAATAATAGTTAATCCAATTTAAATAAATATATAGTAGATAAAATCATACAGACTTCAATGCCAAAGACACTTGAAAATTATCTTTTTTGCAATGATTTAAAAAAATAATAATTGATGTAAAGCATATATCTAATCCAGCTAATGGCTAACTATTCATAGAAAGTTCGATTCGCATTCCCAATGTGTCGAATATTCCGACACAGTGAAAGAATTGTCACAGAATATATGAATGTATGAAATATTTAAAATATTGTATGAATACTATTTATATAATATCACAAATCGTGAGCGAGCGAACAGTACACATCTCTGCCAACATCGTAGCCAGAGGCTCATAGTAGAGAATATTTACTCGTTAACAAGAATCATCTGAGAGAAAATATAAGGAGCACAGCATTTCGCCTATAAAATATAATTGACAATATATGCAAATGACACTGCAATCTTTACTTCTTCTTGGAGTCCAAATCTGCTTATCACACACCTTCAGCGCCACAAAACACATTGATGACATCGTCTTTCTTTAGTGAATGGAAGATGCTCTCCGCTGGGCTCCTGCGATCGTATCGCTAGATCTTACGCAGTTCTAAAGCAACTTTATCCTATCATACAAAGAATATTCTATAATTTATAAGATTTTAAATTTTGCTTTACTTAATGTATGCTCGTCCCGTTCCGTTTTATTTTATGCGGTTCCTGTGAGCTGCATCGCGTACATATTTAGACTGACTCCAGGGTACAGAACAATTTTCTACGCATCATAAGCTTCACTTTTCTAGTTTTATACGGGTTGCAAAAATTCTTTTCCCAAGTATCGTTATTTATGACTTCTATGGATGTTTAAAAAAAAATGCTTATAAAATAAGCTCCAAAATTGGCCTCCAAGACGAAAATGTGAAATGTATTTTTCAAAGCAAAATTTGGTTTAAAATTGATCCAAAGACGATCCAAATCTGAAATTTTTGAAAAAATTAAAATTTTGCGGAACATATATGGAACATTCTCGGAATATGTAACACTATATAAATAGATTTTTAACCGCTATTTGAATGTTATTTTTACATTCCTTAAATATTTCGGAATATTCCAGAATACTCTTGAAATGTTTTTTGGGGATTTTAAAAACCTTTTATGAATATTTCAGGAATATTTAGCGTTAGCTGGGTATATCTAATTGAAATTCAAATAAAAATTCAAATGTATCAATTTCAATCTTTGACCTGGATAAGATATACATTCACTGAGAATTTATCTAGAGAAGATGAAGAAATTACATCGTAACATCGAATGCATGAGAATAACAAGTGAAAAACAGAAAAACAAACGACAAAAGAATGGCCATAATAAAGGAACAAAGAGAATAATATTAAGCTATACATAACGTAAACGTAATATAAAGATCGAAGTGTAAGCAAGCTACTATTAATTGTAGCATAATAAGTGCATATGTTGAATGGGGCAAATGCATCATTAAGAACGGCCATTTAAGAAGGTAGTAGGAATATTCTATTACATAAATCATTTAAGAAATTTTTTTATAAATATAACTTGTTTCGTCATATTTAATTATTTACTAAAAACATAGCATAAAAGTTGAGATTAATAATGAAAGAGGAATAAACTGTTAGAGTATAAATAATTGCTTTAATCTATGCCTGTATAATAATAATAATATAACTGTACACAATGATTAAAATATTATCACATTTCTCAGTTTTAGAAAAAAATATATTTAGACTATATACACTTTATATAATCACGAAAATAATGAAATATTATGTAGTTTAGTGCTAAAAGATCATTCGCTGATATCCTACAAGAAAATACCGAATTCAATTGAATGTATTACGTTGCGTACATAAATTAATTGAAAGTAGTAGTCGCTTGCTTTGCATAAATTATATTATAATTATCTTATTATTGATAAAATGATTTTAATGATCCAAAGAACATTTTCATAATGTCTTTTATTAATATAGATTTAAAAAAAAAGAAAACAATCGTTTGTTTTGTAGCGGTAGGCTATGTTCCAAAATTTACTAGTGCTGAAAATCTATAGTTTATGTACACTATATATTTTTAGTAGTAAATTTTGGAACACAACCTTAATATAGTAACATTCTTCCTTATATAGCTCTATGAAATCTGTAATTACTCTGTAATTAATTACTGATATGCTCTACATTATCAATTTGGAAGAAATAATATCTCTGTCAACATTAAATTACTCTGTATTATCGATTATCGAATTACACAATATTAGCCACTGCAGATTTTATAGAGTTCAACAATAGATGTCACCAACGTAATGTCAAAAGAGACAAATATATGGATATCCCAACACATCATTCACTAATATAATACATAAAAACACACACACACACACACACACACACACACACACACACACACACACACACACACACACACACACACACACACACAAAGCAGAAAAATTGACAGAATATTAAATAAAAACTTGTATTTTTATTATTTCTGAATATTTCATACGCATTTTAGTAAGATTATGTAATAATCTTACGAGATACATAAAAGTGTCCCTCTCCGATTTTAATAACTTTTAATATTTATGTCGTACTCTGTAAACCAGAATATAAAGGACACGTATAAAAAAATTTAGTAATACCTCCTCGAGACCTCAAATAATGTCCCTTATTTTGGTTTAAAATAAAGCTATATTGAAAGGATCAAAATCGTAGGACACTTCTATGTTAGTACGTGCGCTATTTATGCATTCAAATAAATTCGTTACAAGAGTAAAAAAGCCAGAGTTGCTAAATTCGGAGAAAATTGTTACCGCGCAATGGCAATAGTATTCTTTTGTACAGAAAGTATCGAGAAACTTCGAGTCAGTTTTACAACATTTGACAAACAGAAATGTTTGAGAGCCGATCCTATAATTGCCTATACGCATCATAATGTTGCGTGTTATAACAATTTATAACAATTTAAAAATGTGCGTAAAACATTAGTGTATTATACCATTGCTGTGCTAATACGAGCATGTTGAACTGCGATTAATCTTTTAATAAAATTGCGATATATACATATAACTAATTTAATAAATAATCCATGAACGTAATTGCGTTTTATAAAATGTGTATATTCTGTTTCGCTTTACAATCCTCTTGTTCTCACTTGAATAACGAAGGATTATCGGATAAGCGCAACACTTTGTTATTGGTAAGCGTATATCCTCCCGCTCCTCTGCTCAGATAAAGAAGAAAGCATGGCGAAGCGTGACGTCCCGCCTTTGGCGAGTGTGCGATGATTCAAGTTTGATTTCAAGTATGACATGTCAATCTTTATTCACTAATAAATTACGTGTTTAGAATTCTCGAGAACTACATTTAACCATCTACTGTACAAATTCGATACGTTTACAATATATGCTCAATACAAATATGCTCAGTTCTCACAGTATCCGCGAAATAGATCAGGCCTAAGTTGCGCTAATGTAAACGCTACCGGCAAGTACCGATTGAGAAAACACCGCTGGCTTTCATCGAGAAATCTTATAACAAATCACGAAAGAAACGCACATGGCGACAGCTATCAATATTTCACGTAACTGAGCGTAAATCGACGCGTGCATAAAGTACGCCTTCCATTGCACTTTTAAAAACATCCTAGCAGAGGCAGGAGAAAGGGAGATGGATGCACGGGGGAGACAAAAGCGCAACAAAATAGATAAAGGAAATGTTGCAAAAGTATGCAAATAACTTTCGCAGTGAATACACGTGGAAGAACGCAAATATCCCCCTTTTGTCACAATCCATCCTTTTGTCACCAGCTCTGTACGTTCCTTCTTTAACTGCTCGACTTGTTCTATCGGCTATCAAGATAAATACACCACTTGTTATATATTGCACGGTTTCAAGTTGGTCCCTTGTCGACTATAAAACAATATATATGCATTGCTAAAATCCTCGTCTTGTGGCTTCTGTCTGCTCGTAATCTCATCATTGTAATAATACCATACGTCCGTACGAGGATTCTTCGCATACGCCGTATAATGGCCCGCTGATACACCTAAAATTATATTTGACATGTGACAAAAAATTCATCAACTTATAATGTATCTCTAAATACGTTTCAATTATTTTTGGAAGGATATTTAATTTTAAAATATAGAAAGTATTCAAAGTACAGCATCCATTAAAAAACATTTTTAGAGATATTAAAAATTTTTTTTTAGAAAGCTGGAAAATAATACAACACGTTTTCATTGTTGTATTCTATTGTTCCTATATCAATAACTACAATTTTTTCTATAAATCTTTTTAAAAATATATATGTTTTATCTCTATTTTTGACTTTCTTATAATAAATTCTTTCTAAAATGATAAAATTTAAAAAGAAAATTTTTCTCTTAAATTTACATACCTCCAAAGTGGCATACGCAGGCATAGAGATCATAAA